CAGAAGAGAGCAAAATAAAGGCTTGCCTGGGCTGGGGATATACCTCAGTGGCAGAATGTACTCTTGGCGTGCTCCAGTCTCTGTGTTCAATACCCAGTACTGATTAACCAACTGTTAATATAAATAATAAGTGACCAATAAATTTAGGAACTTTGGCTTAGTCCAGAGAGAGGAGTTTCAAATCACGATGTAAGTGGAGAAAGTTGAAGCAGAGGAAAAAAAAGGTTTTCTGAAAATATAGTATCGTGGTTTTTAAATGAATTCCATTTCTGTTTCCCAGAAAAGGAGGCTAAATCCTCTAGGTGTGTTTCTGGGATTAGAGAAAAGAAGAAATGGAAGGAACTGGCTACAGGGAAAATCAGTTCTCAGTGAATAGAACGAATCAGAATGGGATATGATAAGGCTGTAAAATGCCCTGTGCTTGGCTATGGAGGAGGAAACTTAGGGAGATTAATAGCTCACACTGCATTCACTCAAAAGGTATCCCAGGCTATATAGCCCCCTGATATTTTTTTTAAATAAGGCATTAAGAACTTTCTTATAATAGTGTACTTCAGAAAAATGGAAACAAAAATGAAAATTAAAGGATGGTGGGAAGCCAGGCTACGAACTACAGATCCTACATGCACTGACCCATAAAAGTCTTCAGAAAACCAGGGGCAACATATTGGACCTCATATTTATGACAAAGATTTGAGTTCATGTGTGTAGATGTTAAAGGAAGGATGATCTGGCAGAAGGCAGAAGAAGCCAAGAACACCAAAAGGACCCTGCCTCTTCAGCACCAAGGAAGCTGGCAGTGATTATTATCTCTTAGCCATGGACTTCCCCCTTTGCTTTTGATTTATAGATAATGTCTCCTGGTCATTTATCAGACAGTACAGCAATAAGAAACAGTCCCAATGTCCAGCTCTGCCCTGCCAAAGCACATTCTATCCCAATGCAAGCCTGCAAGAATACCCAGAAGCTTGATGTTGAAAAGTGACTCAAAAGAGGATTCTATTTATTTATTATTAGGAAACTATTTAGTTTCAGTGGCAGAAAAAATGATAGAGTTGTTAATAAATCCCGAAAAGTGTTTGAAAGTCGATGAGAAGCCTGAGAAACCTGCAGAGCAGGAGGAAGAAAACGAGAGAACGTGAGGAAACACTGCCTTCCTCCTGCCCTAAGGACAGACTCAACCCAGACAGAACACAGCCAGCTATGTAGGACCATGATGGGAGAATAAAGGAAGTCACATTTACTGTGACCTAGAAAGTTTCTCATGGGAGACAGTCTTGGGGGAACACGGGGATTAAGATCTAGGTATGGCAGACAACTGTGCCTTCTGCTGGCTGGGCCCATGGTGTAGATAAGAAACTGTATAATTGGGATCAGCACTGTTTCTCTTGCCAACACTCAGGTTTTCTGCCCCAAAGGGACTCCCACTAGAGCTGGAACACTGAGCCTCTAGCTTGGCAGGGCTTGTGGGATTGAGACTCAGATGGCTGTACTGACCTTCACTGTCTGCATGCAACTTTGGGTCCATCAGAACTAGTTTCTATTCCCATTAGAAATGGCTCATTTTACTGGATAATGGGGATATCAAGACCATCTTCCAAAGGTTTAAGTGAGTGAATCCACACAAACACTTTGAAGGATGGATGACCCAGGTAAGGCTGTAGTTATTAATATTGTGGTGGTGGATACTGTCATCATTACCTAACAGAACTATTGGAATATGAGGGAGATTTGGGAAATAGTTGTTTATTTGAACACCATCTGTCATGGGAAAAGTGGGAACATGGAAAAAAATGTTGCTTGATAAATAGAAGTATGGGGGTGGCGGGGAGTGTCAGGTCCAAATGTCAGATCTAGATCCAAGCCACAAAGCCCTCTTTCTTACCCCTAAAATTGAGGCAACATCTCACTATGCAGTTCTGGTCGACTGGTTGGAAACTCACCATTGTTGCTCTCCAGCCCACAGAGATCCACTCACCCCCACCTTCGAAGTGCTGGAAAACGGTACTCTTGACATAAGCTGGGTAACTCTTCAAGTTTATACTTTGTGGAATGTGTCCTCCTCCCTTGAATGTCCCAACCCAAGGCACCATTCTTTGCTGAAAGTTTCTCACACAAAGAGAAAAGGGATTCCAAGATGCTCAATAGACATGAGAGAAACTGGATCTGTTACCTGTGATCCAATTGACCCTTAATTAGCACCAGGCCCATTCTTGTCTTCTGACTATGTGCTGCGCTGTGTTCTTCACATGTTCAACTTCTAATCCAGCTGGGAGTGTGACCTGAGAGAGGAGTATATCTACAGACACCTTCAAGCTTTGGGTTCAATGGACCCTAGGTCAGATACTGGTGTTCTCATAAGGGAGAAATTTAGTCACAGAGAAGGAAAGACACACCAAGAAAACACAAGTGGTGCGTGTGTAAGCTAGGCACTGCCAAGGATTCCCAACAGCCCACAGGCCCTAAGAAAAGGCAAGGACAGACCAGGACCTTCCCAAAGTCTTCATTTAATATTTAGGACTTCTAGAACTCTGAGGAATACCTTTCTGCTATTTTAAGCTCCCGAGTATGTGATAACTTGATACAGGAAGGTTGGCCAGCAATTAGCACTGGTCCCACCATGTGTGCTGACTTCAGATGAGTCAGGCTCCATTGCTCCGTTGCTCACTGAGCAGCTCTTTCCTGGAATCTTTGCAAAGGGACGGGAGGAGGCATCAGTCTGTCCTAACTTGAGCCCTGTGCCCTGCATACCACAGGGAAGAGCAAGCAGGAGTCCTCATAGAAGGATGTAGTGGGAATTTTATTTCTGGTACATCTTTCCTTCTGGGTGGGGTCACCTGGCATATGCTTGCACATCTCACAAAAACCCTAACAACCACTGATTTTACTGTTGCCATTTTACCCCCTACCTCTTCTCAAAGTATCAAGATACATTTTTCTCAGCTTCACCAGAAAGAGGAAAAGTAAATTAATGTCGCCAAAATTTTTCCAACTTGTTTCTGGTGTATTGATGGCAAGAACGGAGACTGGCGACAAACCTATGCACAGTGATGGAACATTCATGGTGACACATGTTTATTGGAATCTAAGTCTGGCTCCTTACACAGCAGGTTCTCTGTGTAAAATGGAAAGAGAAATGGACAAATTGCAGAAAAAAAAAACCGAGTCCACAATTTTCTTTGAATTCCAATCTTGATTGTTTCTCTCTGGGTATTCTAGGGAATGTCGTGGTCCTCATGACATAAGGGCATATCTTAAGCCAAGTGTGATGTGTGTCATACTTGAGAGTTCTAGAAACTGGACAGGAGGATGTGAGGAGAGATATTAGAAACCAGAGAGGAAGAAATGAGTAGCTTTAAAATTGGAGAAAGGACAAAAATCATTAGAAAGAAACATCTCAAGATGCAGGGCCTTCAGTCCTGTCTCTAGGCACCAGGTTAGAGCACCAGGAAATGGAGCACAGCTTAGAGAACCCCCTGCAATGGGCGTGAGTCTGCCCCTCCCTGTCTCAACTCTCTCATTAGCTATCACCACTCCACCACTCGGAAGATCATACAGCTTCAACAAGAGATTTCTAGACAGTAGGGAGTGCAGAACGAAGCCTTCCTCAGTTGTGCCCATGGAGCTGCTGTGTCTAAAGGCTGTAATAACAGCCTTCTTCTCATTTTCTTCTCAGTGGAGAATCCACTAAAGTAGGAAGCCATGGCCAGCTAGGAGATACACTGTCAGTTTCCTGATGGAGGAGGTTTAGTGGAGAATCATAAGGGCCCACTGACAAGTAGGGCTTACATGAGTTCCTTCCCAAGTCTTATTTCCACTCTGCTCCCCTGGTGAAGTCTACAGAGCAGCAAGGACTGCCAGCCTCTCTGGAACCTTCCAAAGTAATAAAAGAGGATTTATTCTTTGGGTGAGAGTGGCCACATGGCTGGTGACTTAGCACACTCAATGAGGGTTGCATCTCATGTCTAGCTTGTCCCCACTCCTGTGTCAGGACCTTATTCTTTGTAGGCAACATGCAAGGCAAGGCTCATTCTGCTGTATGCTGAAACTCTTTCCTGGTTCCAGCTCACTAGGGAAGGACCCTATGAAAGACCATGGGCTCTCTTGAGGAAACATGTCCAGGAGCAGGGGCCTGTGAAACTCACAGTCAGTGGACACAAACTAATGAATGGAAATATTGACAAAGAACCACAATAGATATTTTATGGTTGTCACCCAACACACACGCATGAACTCACACATACAAACAATGAGACAAGCACAAAAATACAAAAATTTTCAAAATTGTTTGTTTTATTCATTTTACTCCATTGGGCTCTCAGCCTTTGTTGATTTCATAGACCCTAGAGTGTGAACAGTTTGAGAGATTGTGGAAGTCAAACTCCCATGTCATCTGTGAGATAAAGGATTCTTTCTTTGCTGGAAAGGCAGTGGGAATTGAGAGAGAGAGACAGGAAATGCCGACATCCTCTTCCTGCTGTTCCCAAAGGGAAAGAAATTCTCACTGAAGGAGCCACGGGAATGTGAGGGGGAAAGCACAGGGTGACTGTGACCCCCAAACTTGCACACAATACTTTAAACGATCGAGGACAATTTCTGGATACCAAAATGGGTTTATGTATTCCTGGGTTTTGTTTTGTTTCCTGCTCTTTCTTAAACAGTGTCTGGTCCACTTTGTAGCCCCGGGTTGGCCTAGAATAAAACACTCTCTTACATTAAGGAAATTTGGTCTTTTTATTGAGTCTAAAATACTGTTTTGCTTGTGGGTTTTTTTTTTTTTAATCAGAAGAAGAGAAGATTTTTTTTTACTGTTACTATCCATTAGGCTTGAAACTTTACACATTATTATTGATTAGCATTATTGCTGAATCCTCCTTGTCCCCAAGCCAAGCAGCTGTCTCTGGTCTTACTTTCCAGGAAGGGCAAACAAAGTGCAAGGTCGGCCCCGCAGATTAATTCGCCGCTGCAGGTGCTCCCTGCAGACAGACACTCCAGCTGGACTGAGAGAGGGCCCAGCCATGTCTCTGCTGGCAGCTGGGCTGCTTCTCCTGGGTAAGAAGTCCTGGGGCCTGGAACCCCTGGGGCAGGTGTGGTATGGATGGAAACTCACAGACTCTGTTCCTACAGGCTTCCTTCTAGGTCCAGTAACTGATGCAGCCACCAACGTGTTGAAGGATAACACAGGAAACAGTGAGCATGGGTAGTAGGAAACCCCTTTCCTAACAGCAGCATGCTAACCTTGGCTCCTTTGCACCCCAGACACCACCAGTTAACCTATGCTATGGCCAGACACTGGGTTCCTGCTAGAAATCTGGGGAAACCTGACTCTGACTTTATAAGGCCATGAGGCTACCAAAAACCTCCAGCTGCTCAGAAATGGGATGTTCCAGCAGCTTGTCCATGTTGACCTACCTCCCATGTCAGACCCATTCCCATTGGGAGCAATTGCAAGTGACAAATAGGGACCTTGACCAAATTCAGTAAGGCTTGGACCACTTTGGTGGAAGGATGGAGATGAGCAATTTCATGGAGGTGACAGGGACGGATAGACAGGATCTTAGTGGAGTAAGAAGACAGTGGGAAGGAGTAGATGGAGGAGCCTCTATCCCTGCTTGCTCATCTGTTAAGTGAGAATGTTTGTGCTGTCCTCAGAGGCTTATGAATAAGTCCTGTAGAGTGCTGGGGACAGGCCTGTCACAGAGTAGTGTTCTGCTCCCTGTCTCCAGCTTCCACCCCCACCCCATCCCTGCCTCCCTTCTGTTTTCTGAGTCTGGAGTTCATACCCTTGCTGCTTCCAGAGTGAGACCGAAGCACTCTCTGACCCTGCTCTCCCCGCTCCACAGAGCTCTTGCCCAGACCCTGGCTTTCTGTTGAGCCCGTGTCTTGGATCACACCTGGCCTGAGCACATTCCTGACCTGCCAGGCGCCACTGCCAAATGTAGCCTTCCTGCTGAAGCGGGAAGGAGATACTGGTTTCCCGGAAGTAGCTGAAACCAATGGTTTCCTGGAACTAGCTGGACCCGATGGTTTCCTGGGGACAGCTAAAGCCAGGAAAGGTGACAAGGAACGGGCCACCTTCCTAGTCCACAAACCGGGCACCTACAGCTGCAGCTACCTAATCCACACATCAGCTGTGCCCTCTGCACCCAGTGATACTGTGACTATCAAGGAGTATGGTGAGTGCTCGATCCCAACACTGAAAAGTTGGGTGGAAAGACCTGATGCATCGCGTCCAAAGACAAGCTGTCCCTGGGGGTTTGGGGCCAGACAGAGGGCAGTTCTTTGTGGGACCCTACAATACCGGGTGTCCTGGATTCCTGCCTCAGGACCTTCCCTGCCTTGCAGTCATACCACCTCCACCGGTGCTGACCTCTTCCGGAAGTGTCACTGTGATCCTACTTGAGAAGGCCCACAGGACCCTTGTCTGTGAGGCTCCACTGATGGATGTTGAATTTCAGCTGAGGCAGAGCAAGCACAAACTGAAGCTCCCCTCCATCAGCACCAGCCCAGAGCAGGTCAAGTTCTATCTGAAACGATCGGATCTGGGGGACCAGAGCCCATTCACATGTCGCTACCGTCTACACAGCAATACAGCTTGGTCCAAAGACAGTGAGCCCGTAGAACTAATGTGGAGTGATGGTGAGTCTCACGATGGGGGGGGGGGGGACGACTACGGGGACTGCAGATCCAGAGCAGGTGGTAAGGCGCGAGGGGTAGTCAGAAGCAAGCAGGATAGGTAGGCAGAATCCCCAAATCAGAACAAATTATCCAGTTAGCCTCAGTTTCCCAAGCCTCAAATAGGACAATTAACACAGCAACCTTGAGATCTGAAAAGAACTGGATCACCACAAAAGTGATCATACAAGGCTCAGACTTTGATGGGATGCCTCTTGTCAGTCAGCGTATCCTAGAAAGAATTCAACTGGACGCCCGGGCTTGCCAAGGCTAAGAAGAGCCTGAGGCAGTAGCACAATATTAAGTACGGTCTTGGCTGTCCTTCAAAAGCAGACAAGAAAGGAGGAGGGGAGGTCACTTTAGGCACAAGACTCGCCACATCACAGGCTGGACCACGCATGGGTCCCTTGCTGTGCCTTCAAACTGGGCCAATGTGTCTGATCCTCTACAGAGACACTGCCGGCACCAGTGCTCACTGCCGAGCCATCGAATCAGACCATTGAACCTGATTTGATGGTGCAGTTTCGATGTATCGCCCCTAAGGCTGGTCTGCGCTTCGGCCTGCACCGTGAAGACCCGGATGAGAGCATCCTGCTGCAGACGCTGAAGACAGCTGGCAACGAGGCTGTCTTCCAGCTGCACAAAGTCTCAGCAAAAGACTCTGCCGACTACAGCTGCAGCTACACGGAACTAGCCCCGCCCTTCTCTGGATCCGCTCCCAGCGAGTTCGTGGAGCTGGCTGTGACCGGTGAGCTGAGCATAGCCACGTGGTTAGGAAGTCCCATGGGGTGCTCCGATAAAGGATCGGATTCCTGGGCTGTGATCTTGTGAGGGGCCATTCTTTTTATGCTGCACCTTAACAAGGCTTTGGACTTTGAGGTCCTTGAAGTTGCCTCCTTCCGATAAGGCATGGAACTCTGGTCTTTCTTCCCCCGGAGTTGGAACTGGAAGTGGGCAGGCGAAACCGTGTTCAAGAGGGTTAGGGTCTGTCTGAGCTGTTCCTGTTCAGATGCACCCTGCTCTCTTTAGTTTCCAAGTACATCAGCTCCACTCAGAAGCAGCCACTGCCTGATCTGGCCTGGGGCTGTCCCCACAGTTTGAGCTAATGTGTAATTTTCCAGAGCCCTCGAGTCCCTGGGGTCTATTTGTTTCTCTGATTTCCTCATCGAGGTCTCCTTGGGTCAGAGGTCAGCCAGGCAGAGAGACCACACAGAGCTTCCAGTCAGGCTTAAATTTGACCCCAGACCTTTGAACTGTGCTTCTGCCAGAAGCAGTAGCCTGAAAGGTTTCTTCATCTATCTGGGGAGTCAGTGAAGGCCTGGGATAAGCTAAAGCCTGGCAGATCTCATAGCGCTTGTGATGCTAGAAGTTGCATACCTGGAAAAGATACAAATGGGTACCCAAGGAGAGAGGCAACAGAGGGAGCTGTCTGACCCAGAGTGGGTAGTGCAAACAAAGTAGCCAGAGTAAAGTTACCAAGGGGCCTGACAAGAAATGTCCCAAACTGAGTATCTTCCCTCACTCCCCCCCCACAACCAGGGCCACCACCACCACCAAAGCTCCAGGCACTATGGACAGGAAAAGTACCTGCTGGCAGTGATGTTGTTCTACGCTGCCAGAGCAAGGTGCCCGGGGTCGTCATGGAGCTGCTGCGTGGGGGCAAAATTGTCCCCTACCGGATATACAAAATAACAAGCTCCTGGAGTGACCTGGTGCTACCCTTAGTGGGTCCCCGACATACGGGTAACTACACCTGCCGCTATACCTCCTGGAATCCTGATCCCTTCCACTCAGAACCCAGCAACCCTGTAGAGCTCATAGTAGAAGGTATGACTTGTAGGGGGCTGAGGTTGGGTTTTGCCTCTTAGTCTTGGCTGCGCTGGGCACTGGTTAACTGTGTAATCCAAGCTAGTATGCAAAGTCCCTGTGGCAATGTGCTGCGTCAATTCATCCATATCTTTGTCTAGAAAGGTGATGTAGCTGCAGACACAGGACACGATGGTATTCTTGGAAAGAGGGGAAGATGGGCAGAACTCTTATGCTTTCTTCCCACTGGAAGATGCATTTCCCCCAATCACCCTGTACTTATTAAAGGTCAAGCAATAGTTTACTTAAAGTGTGTGTCTTCCACTTGTGGGTCCAGTGTGCCTAGGGAGGGGGCTGTTATTCTAGGCCTGGTGTAGTTAGAGGCTGCTTGTTCATTTTTCAGCTGCCTAGACCTGAAATAATCAGTTAGAAACTATATTAATTAAATTACTGCTTGACCATTCACTTAAGTGTATTGCTGGGTAGCTCTTATGTCTTAAATTAACCCATTTCTATAATCTGTGTATTGTCACATGACTATGATTTACCAGGCAAACTTCTGGCATCTGTCTCATCCAGTGGTTACATGGCATCTCTCTGACTCTGCCTTCTTTCCTGCTCTATCTGCTTAGATTTCCCGCCTTGCTCTATTCTGCTAAGCCACTGGCCAAAACAGCTTTATTCATTAGCCAATGAAAGCAACACATATACAGAAGGACTTCCCATATAATTTCCCCTTTTCTGTTTAAATAAAAGAAAGATTTTAACTTTGACATAATACAATTTCATATAACAAAACAGGTATCAAGCAAGAATTACAGTTATAATACTTTATCTTTTATCATAACTAAGGATATCTATAATTATAACTATCTATTCAACTCCTTCAAAGACCCCAGAAGGACATATTACCTAAATAAACAGGAAGTGCATTGTAAGCAACTTCCAAAACTCAAGAATTGACAGAGACATCACACTGCATGGATAGTCACCCAAAGTTCTTCTATAACATTGGGGCATTCATCTTCAGCCTACAAGCCTATAGTATCCAGCCAAACTTTTCCACGAAGCAAGAAATTTCAAAGACAGTTCCACCTATATTGGCACTTTGTCAGTCACTTTCTTCTGTTTCCTGCAGAATGTCTGTCAGACTCTATCATGAAGCCGGAACCTCATCTTTTAGGCAAGCTCAGTAGTCATTTTTCTATGGGTCTTGCAGAGCCAGTTCATAAAGCATAACATCAAGTATCTAGGAAAGGCAAATTTTTGCCCAAGTGGCTAACCAGCTCCATAAGAAGTCTCTTTGATGCCCATCTTCTTGATGCTGCCAGAATAGATGTGTATCATTGTCATAAGAAGTCCTAAGTGTTTAAAAGCTTAAATGCCATATTCCATAGGTCTTTGAAAGGTTTGAAGATTAGTTATCTAACTGAAATATATTTCTATATATCTAGAAAACCTAACTAGCATGACTACAAGCTTGACTATTATAGATGACTATATATTAACCTGTATTTCTTAAGTATACATTACATTTTTAAATGCGCTGCACAGACACAGCTTTATTCATTAACCAATAAAAGCAACATGTGTTCAGAAGGACTTCCCACGCCAGCCTGGAATCCATTGGATCCTAAGGGCACAAAGGTGGAGGCCTGGCCCTGATTGCATGTTTCTCAAGATCTCTTTCTCTTGCTCTCCTTTGTCTGGCTGCCTCTTACTTTCCAGGCACTCTGCCCACTTGTAGAAGATATGTGTGTGCAGCCTGGAGCGCTAGTCATACCTATCTTAGCTTGAAAGGGTCGAGCCCCATCCTGGCAGTAGGTTAGAAAAATGATACATTAAAGAGTTCTGCCTGTGTTTTCTTCTTCTTCTTCTTTTTTTTTTTTTTTTTTTTTTTTTTTTTTTTTTTTTTTTTTACGAATAAGCACTGATGGGTGTCATCGGAGTGTGTCCAAATCAATGCATTATCTGAAGTGACTCAGCTAAAACAAACCAAAACAACAAACATCTTCAGAGCTGAGCCAATCTTTTGTTCCCTTCAAGCCTCAGTGGAGCCTGAGACTAAAGCCTGAAGGGCTGATCCCTGAAGCAGAAGTGGCCCTCAGCTCAAAAATGCCCTGCCCCCTGCCTTGTATGCCAGCAGTCCCTTACTGCTTCTGGTCCCCAGGATAACTCAGAGACACTCCATGCCTCCCTGTGACCCCTGCTTCTTCAGTGCCTTTGTTCAGAAGGCCCTTCCTTCTCCTTCACCTATCATATGCATACTAAAATACTGACTCATGCTTCAAAGCTGATGGATCCTTCCATTATTTATTTTTTACAACAAGTTTTAATTGAAAGTTCAGGAGCATAATTCAGTGGCCAATTTGGTTAGTGGAGACAAAAAAGATGAACAAGACATAGTCCCTGTTCTTAAGCAATATTCAGTCTAAGGTTGGACGAATGGTTTAGTAAGTAAAAGCTCTTAACCCACAAGCAAGACCACCTCAGTCAAAACCCAGAGTCCATAGTGAAATGAATAACTAAGAAGGATGTAGTTGGTGGTAGGCATCTGTAATCCCAGGGTTCCTACAGTGAGATGGAGGGGAGACAGGAGAATAGAACACCTCCAGGCTTGGAGGACAGAGTGATCTAAAGGAAGAGACATTCTGTCTTGACAGGAGAGGTTAAGAGAATAAACTCCCCACAGACATCTTCTGATCTGTCTGGACACAATCATGTACACACCCGCACTCACATATACACATATAATAATAAATCAATAGTTTAGTTATGTGCAGTAAGATGCACCGATAGCCAGAGATGCCGTGTAAGAATTCTAGTGAGCGCACAGTGCTGGGCATAGACCTCCATCTTGAACTTTTTGAGAACATCATAATAGGTCACACAGGCTCTCTGGGGTTGTTGGCCCCTGACATAGCCTGAGATGTGAAGGAGAAGACAGGAATTCTAGGAGATAGCAACCGTTTCACCTAATATCATTATTCCCAATTTAGAGATGAGCAAACACTGAGTGAATGTCCCCAAATGCTGAGTTAATGAACAACAGAGCTGTTTCCTATCCCAGTGCATAGCAGCCTAAGGCAGTTTTTAACTCATTAACTCAGCCTGGGTTTAACTTACCCTGGGAATCCAGGCACAAAGGACCCAGGGGGGATGACCTTTTTGTTTTTGTCTTGAGACAGATATCACTCTGCATCCCAAGCTAGCTTTGGACTCCTGATCTTCCTAATCCTTCTGCCTCAGCATCCAAACCACTGGGGATGCAGTCATATGTCACTGTGCTCAGTCTTACTGTGAAGACAAAAGAACCAGAAGAAGCAGAGCAGAACAGGTACGGGCTGTTCTACACAGGGCCAAACGCTAAGCACAGAGGTTTGTGGTGGAAGCCAGTTAGAGATTGGGAAACACCCTGACTGGATAAACTTTACCTTAAAGCAGGGGTGCCTTGGTGTTCATGGAGAGCATGTGTGAGATAGGAGATCAACATCAATGATTTGAAAGTTTAACAAACTCAAACTGGAGATGACTTCTGAACCTTTTGGTCAGTAGGGGAGTATTTTTTTTTTTGAAGACATTATGTGGGCCTTCTCTTCTATACAATGGTGACAACTTGATCTACATACTACATATTATAGGACTGCGATAAAGGTCAAATTAAGTAACAACAAGTGAGCGAGTACAAAATCCATTTCCTGATACACCACATTAGCTGAATTCTCATGAACTTTTCCTGTGTCTTGCAAAGATTTCCTACCATGCTAATGAGGTGGATCTGGGCCCATTCATTTCCCCTGCCACAGATCAGGCAAGAGACTGAGACCCTTTTCCATATGTCAGGGGAGATCCTGGTCACAACCTTGTCATGGAGTGGCTTGGGACAGATCCTTAGGGCACCGAGCAGAGCTTGTTAGAGACAAGACAGGAGAAATGGGGTTCATCCTTAGCAATGGACCAAGGGAGCAAGGATCCACCCATCCCCTGAAGAAAAGAACAGTTAATTGTATCATTAATAATACTTAGCATAGTCCCAGTGCTTTCTCAAGCTAATTAATTCTGCTCCAAATCCTGGAAAACGAATGACCTAGTGTGTCAGAGAAGAGCTCTATTTCTGAATTAGGGGTGTGGAGAAGCTCAGCCTTCACAATGTCTGATGGAGAGAAAAGCTGTATCACTGCTTCCTAGAGCCAAGTTACACTGGACCAAAAGAGGCCATTAAGCCCTGGTGGGTATCAGCCCTTCACCAGGTCTGTCTTCAAATAAGTACAATTACCCAAGGAAATAACAACACAAGAAACCCCATTTTGTCATTTTTATTCTAACAATGTCCCAAGAGACAGTACCAAGAAATCATATTTTCTTTTCAGCTGGCATGATGGTTGAAATCGGTTTTATTCTGGAAGTTAGTGTTAAGCCCTTGGGCCACGACATGACTCACAGTTAGCTGCTCAACTCCACAGCCCTTTACTCCACATGTTTTGTCAACAAAAATCTGAGGATGCTAAGGAAACACACTTTCTTTACTTACATATCAGTGACTATGATAGACTAGAAGAGGCAGATCAAGCACAAAATAAGGGTAAACCCTCCGAGCACAAAATAAAACAAAACAAAATCACTTGCGTAAGCCTCGTTCCTGGAAAAAACGTATTAAACTGTTTGGAAAGATGGTGAGATAGAGCAGCATCACTGGGAGCCTAGAACTTCATCCTCCAGACGTGATGTGACCTCTGCTGCTTGAGATCACAGCGGAGCTTGAAATCTACTCTCCAAGCATCAATGATCAGGCCTATAACATAATACTGTATGACAGGAGTCATCTGCCCCTCAGCGGAGAGTCCAGTCACCATTCTCCTGCTCCCTGAGCATGGGCAATGCTAGAGTTAGAGACGATGGGTGGTGGAGTTGGAACTCTAGTGAAAGTGCACCTTTGGTGAGTTGTCACCAGAACCAGCATGGAGTTTTCCAAAGACACAGTTCTCTTTAAGTCGCCCATGTACCTATAAGTACCCCCTCACCCACGCTCCTTTCCATGACTCCACACACTCATTGGTTCAAGAACTAGATTTGGATGTTCGAAAAGTAATCTCAAAAGTTCCGGCTGCTGCTATGGAGGTAGCCATGACACTGCCAAGGGGGTTTCACAACCCCCTCTCCGAAATACAGAAAACATCCTGACAGAAACTTCGGAAGAGCATGATCCTGTCACAAAATCCTGGCGGGAAGAGAGGCACATCTTTTGAGAAGGCACAGCCATGCTCCTAACACAGACTTTCAGTCACACGACGCACATTTCTCTAAGGAATGGAACTGACCTCTGTCTCCTTCGTGGAAAATGTCCTCTGCAGAGGTCCTCAACCATAGTAACATTGTGTGGAGACAATCTCCTTATGACACCCGTGTCCTGCATTCTCTCCTTAAACAGCAAGTATCTGACGCTGACGTGTAGCTTGTCGGATGTGACTTGTAGTTGTAGGGCAGGGAGGTTTCTGGTGTGTCTATAATGTGCTGCAGCATATATGAAATTTGTATATGGCCCCTGAAAAGTGCAGTGGACGTAAGAAAACCCAGTTCTGTGTCTTTGCTCCCAAAAATGTGACTCTCTGCTTCAGTCTTAATGAAGGAAGAAAAGTGCACTGTTTATGTATTTATAAGTATTAATCAAGCATAACTACAGGATAGCAAGCACACTCTATGCTTTGACAGTCAGCCGACAACATGACATTATATCCTTTCCCTGATGGTGTAATTATAAATAAGACTGTCACTATCCTATCATCTATGCCCAGACTTTGGAATCATCCCAGAAGTTTCTTCCTTCTTCAGTTTTGTACATCAGTTCTTCAAGATAAGTCTATCTACAGAACTTCTTCATCCCTAGTCTGCTAGACAGATAAAGCATTTCCTTCCTAGGAGCACCCTGCCTCTCATATACATAATCATGCATATTCCTTCTCTCCCTTGATCCTCACTGAATTTTCTCAAACATAAATCTAATTCAGTTACCACCCTGTTACACGATCTTCCCTGATTTCTGGGAATCATTACAGTAACAATAGCTAATATCAACTCCTTCCTATGTGTCGGTGACTGTCCTAATGCCGTCCCTAACTTGATTCATCAGGTGAGTTTCATAACTAGCTTCACTTATGGTCATACATTATCTCTTAACGGACAGCTTCGCTCCTGCCCACCAACGTTCTCCATAATACCATGCAGGTGTATGAAGGCCTGTGAGCTGCACTTCCCAAACTGCTGTGTCAGCTGCCTTCCCTGAGGCTTGGTGTACAAGTCCAAGAAATGAGCAATGAGTTTCTTCTTCCGGTGCCTTTGCCAGTGGTAGGAGTTGAAGCGGATTCTCTAGTGTATGTTACTGTAGGGATCACCGGAGAGCAGCAACAGCAGCACCACCCTCCA